CATGTCCCAAAGGTATTTGAACACCTGCAGCGCCAGATGAAACTTGCACCATTTTATAGGCTAGAGTCAAATCTCCCACGTTACAAACGATTTTTCAGATGCTGCTACTCCAAATATGCTACTGCGTAAACACCAAAACCAGATTTTCACATACATGACTCTTTGTTCTTATATTTATATATTATCATTATGGCAGTTACATGGGATATTTATCGAAACCGCAGAATAGCTATAAACAAATTTTGCTTAAAAATGAATATGAGAAAAAGCAAGAGGATGAGGGAGAAACGGAGGGAAAAGCACAACATAAAAGGCAAAGTAGCGCGAGCTGCTGCACGTAAAGATGAGTTTGAGAAAAAACCTATTTTCTTTTCTCATTCTTTTAAGATTCAAGGTCCGAAGGGCTGCTTCTAAACGCTTGTCATTTTCATCCCTGAGTCAATAATTCTGTGATACGTTACAAACCATTGCTCGATGTAACTTAAAGTTTAAAACGGCGAGGTTACTTAGCTATGTAAATATCAGGTAACGTTACATCGGGAATAACCATAAGTCAGAAAGGCGTTAGCAACAAGCGAACGAAAGAAGCTTAGTTAAGCAAGGCAAAGTAAACGTACAGAGTAATTAACAATTAATCTTATCCACTACAGATGATTACTTGAGTACTGTTATCAGAACTGTGAATGAGCAACTGCTTTGTAACTTGAGTCATAATTCGATTCATACATGGGCGACTCGAGAAAGCAGATGAAAGCCATTTTAACAAATCAAAATTACACACACATGAAAGTACATGCAAATTTGTGATGTTCAGTTACTTCTTCAATTTTAATAACAGGCATTTTAATTTACTCTCCAATAACTTCAAAAACGGAAAACGCAAAATTTAAGTTAAATCAACATAATTTTGCAATGCTTTACACTACTATTGAAGATGAAAACAACAGTTAGATACAAAGATCAGTACTGATGAATTTCTAGAAGAAAGTATTAAGTAACAGAATCGAATGAATCCGAAAACCGTCATTTTACTCACAATAGTTACTGTGAGTGAACAATTGTTTGCAGGTACGTTTAATAGTAAATTTTACAGTAATGACGGAGAAGCAACTAGTTTTGGACGGATAGAGCGTCAGCTTCCTAACTTTGCCCTTGTGCGATTAATTCTTTTCTCAGATTAGCTCATTTACGAACACTTTTCGTTATAAAATTTAAGCGTTTCTACTGTATATAGCAGAAATGTACAAATCATGGTACCGCAAGCCAGTGCATAGCAGCACAGAGGGCATCTTTTTTAACTGCCACGGTATCTACGAAAGCTACGAAACTACTTTAATGGAACTGAACAAGGTTAATTAACAAGGCTCTGATTCTAATAATATTAGTTAAAAAGTGGAATATTATCTCAGGAGAGGTCATGTCTAAACGAAAATCTCCGGATAAAACATTGAATGAAAAACCAACGCAGTATGTATGTATCTTCGAAACAAGCATGAAGAAATTTTTTCGCAGTCATCCCCATTCGATGAGTGAATGAAACCTCTTGAACAAAATAAGCGAAAAGTGGGAACGGTCCTTCATGAGTGATATTACCAAGGGAAATAGGCTCGCATCTAATTAGCTAGCGTCATTAAATGGCGAAAAATTTAAAATCCAACAATAACTGAATGCCACCAGGTTTCCTACAATCTACTTGAAAAGTGAATTACGAAGCCTTTCGCCTTTTACGAAGTTTATCTTGTGGATATCCAAATATCAGTTCGTTTCACTGCGTGGGGTACTGTACATTTTGAAAATAATATCATCAGCTAGTCTATTCATTCAATGAAATTATTTGCTATCACATTAGCTGTCCAGTACAACTTTGTCAACGAGTTATCACATATTCTTCATCGGTCTATCCACGCACCAGTTGGTGCATTATTCCCTTAACCTTCGTTCACTTAGGACGTAACTCCTCCCGAACCAGATTTGATGTACAAACCCGCTTGCTCGTTGTTGCCTAATAGGCCATTTAAGCAAGCCGAAAATCTATTGTATTTTAGACCCATCTGCACCGACGGTGTTTCAGGAGTTGATTTCATCATACATTACCAGAGTAACAAGAAATTGTTCGCACGTCGAAATGTGTGAGATTCTTTTTTGAATTTACCTATTCAGCCACTATCATTCATTCATTTACAGACTGACTGTTAACTTTAACTTTTTAACTGTTAACTTTTTCATCCATACGTTCGTTCATTTACTATTTCACTTGCATGTTTCTTCATTCATCCATCCATCGTGTTAATTTTTGTTTCCTTTCTGACTGCGGGGAACAATTTCAACTGGTGTTTCAATGTCGTCGATTCTCGTTCAATGAGAAAATCTCATGAGCAAGATTTCATAGCTGAGCAATAATAACTGGTTAATTCTGTCGATGTACCTGACTTTGAGTTCGACTACTGGTTCAGTGTAAAGCGCTTCTTACGTAGCGAATCCATCATGCTGTATATGGTATATGGTATTCAGGTTATCTCAATTGCAGTTTTTTAACTTTTATGAAAAGTCAGCATTGTGCTAATGGCTACTCTGTTGCCATAGCAAATAAAGCTTGTCTTTGCTGCCTGACTTTCTCTTCTTCATCTACTTGATTGACCATGTTAGTAGGCTTTCGTTCCTAGGTTACGATAAAGTAGCGACTTTCTTTTCATCTAGTTTTACTTCTTTATCTGAGTCCTATATTTTCAGGCACGATTTTGTTTTAATGTAAATCTATGAGGCTTTGCGGCCCTCATCAAGTCAAACATTATGAAACACATACAGCAACAACCCCGCTGCTATCTGCAGAAGGTAAACTGCCATTGAGCCCCTAGCCTGCAAAAAGGGTTCCCTGCGGTGTTAGAAGCAAGGCAACAACGCGATTATGCCACTTGAATCCAAAAATGGGCGGGGATTCCCATTCGCCAGAGGCGTCGTAAACGAGGATTTTGCTAGTAAA